ATGTCAGCCAAACGTTTCCTCGGGCACACTGTGTTGCTGTCCGAAATGTTTCCGAAACGTTTTGGACTGTGATCTTTGTCGCCGGCGCAGGCTATTCTCACCCCTGCTGGCGTCCGCCAAGGGAGGCAGGCCAACAACATCCTGTGATGCATAATTCGGGGACATCTCTTTGGTACACCAAGTCAGCGGAAAGCGCTGAACCGGTGTCCGTGAAGCTGCTGAATACCAATTCAGGCCCGAATCTGGAACTTGTTTGTGGATCGGAATACTTTTGTAGCTTCTCTCCACAGTCGGAATTCAGGTTTCTATCATCGCGATTCCCAACATGTCGCGTGGAACAATGTCCATTTCCTAAGTCTGTATGTACTGTCCTTATGTACGCCAGGCAGTTTTTACGTTGTATTTACGTATTTTTACGCAGTTTTATGCGTAAAAAGGTAAAAACCATTTTTACGCGTAAAAACGTAAATACGATCAGTTTTTACGGCGTAAAAACCCAGCCTGGGAAAGTGTATGAATATGTGCGCAATGTGTGGGCGCAAGGCACACATGGAGCAAGCACACAAAAAGTAGCGTCTGAAACTTTCCACCTACAGTCTGATCCCCAAAGTATCCGGCACCCAACATGTGGCTCGAAGCTCAAAGGATTACGTGCAGCATCGCCTAGCCTCCCTGTCGAGACGTCTGACATGTTGAGAATAATCAAACCGAATCGAACAGCTGTTGTCGGCGCTGCGACCTTCTGTGGCCTTTTCACCTGACATGGGGAGAGGACGCATTTTACCATTCCAGGAAGCATTCTTCTGGGCACCACGCACCAACTGTCCCACCTGCCTAAAGGCACCACGGTGGAGTTCCAACTTGCACTATCAAGAAAAGACCCAATAACACTTTCTGCGAACACATTTCAAATGCATTTCATCGATGTTCTGCTTGCTAAAAACACAACAATAACCCAAACCCGTAAATTTTGTACACGTTTCAACACGTGTTACTTGGCCCTTTGTTTCCTAGTGTTGGGATCGTGAGTCAATGCAGCAGAGGTGGTCGCAGTCGCTCCTGCGACAGCCACCTTGGTTTGAAACACCTGCAGGAATCGCCATCTAGAGTTGCTGAGTGGGAAATTGTAACAGCAAAAAGACACGCGGATGCGGCAGGATGTGACAGGACGGGGAGCCAGGCCCTCGCTGTCGCATCAACCTTTTTATAGATACAACTGGAGCGTCTGTACGTATACACCCGACGCGCGTCCGACAGTGCCGCCTGCGACAACGGCGGGCTGCCGCGCTCCACGGGAGCAGAAACATTGGACGCCGCGATCGACGGAAGCTCACTCGAAAAGCCGCGCCCCGCCGCAATGCATGGGGATGGTGGGTCGTCGTACCCATCAAAGCGCCTTAAGTACATAGCACGGGTCGGCCGCTGTGCGCACCCTCCCCGCTAATAATCCCATTTGATGCTCCACATGGGCACGTCTCCGAAACCAGCGGGACTGAAGGCGGGCGGGCCATCAAATCGCCCCGATCGCGGACAGGCCCGCGTTACCCACTTCGGCCGCCCGGGGCGCCACTGGCGGTGGCGGCGTGCGCCTGCGCGTGGACAAGCCGCCCATCGGAACGTGAGCTGGCCCCTGGGTGCTCGATCCCGACGGTTGCCGCCGGTGCTGGCCGTGCTTGAGACTTGGCTGCGCTTGACGCACTCTGCGTGGATTAGGGCAGCCTGAAGCGTGGCGGCAGGCACAATGCTGCCCTTCACCGCCCTGTGGCTGCCTGACCCTGCCCGCGAGGCCGCCTTCGCCAGGCGGTACGCCGAGAGGCACTTCCAGGACAGGGACCTGCTGTTCCGGGCCATCCGGGCGTGCGTCACGCCGGTGTTCCTGTTGGTCCGGCTCTGGCAGAACGGCCTCGGCGCGGATGGCATGCAGGCCCTGGCGGTGGCCGCCGTGACCGTCGCCGTGGAGTGCGCGGGATTCGGCTGGCAGAAGGACAAGCGAGGGGTCAAGAGGACCGCCATGGCGGTGCTCACCCGCATCGTAATCATCGTCAGCCAGGTCATGGATGCGGCCGCCATGGAGGTGGTGGTGGGGAACCCCGGGTCGATGTTCCGATTCATGCTCATGCAGTCAGGCCTAGTGGCGCTGCTCATCTCCAACGCCGGCGTGCCCCTCCTCGTCAAGCACCACCTGGCGGTGAGCGTCACCACGGTCGTGGCCATGGCCGTGTTCGCAGTGCCCAACCAGTGTGCGGCGGCGTTCAGCGCCCCCGAGAGCGGTCCCATCGTCTTGGCTGTCTGGCGTTTCATAAATGCCGTCTTCACGGGGGGCTGTCTGGAGAATGAATACAATCCCCCGCCCCTGGACGCCTGCTGGAGTGTTGTTTCCATGTCGCTCTTTGTGCTGGGGCTGCTCGCGCCGTCGTTCGCCATGTGGACGGTGGAGTATGAAGACCGGGTTAATTTCACCAGAAGCGGTGAATTGCTGACGGAGGAAAACATCCGAAAACAGATGCTTCTCTTCATTCCTGTGATGGGAGTCACGTGGCTGCTGCTGAACTTCAGAGTGTGGATGTAGAGATTGCAGAAGGACACGCGAACATGATTGAGCCCACAGGTCTACAGACCACGTCAGGATATGGCTGCGTCAGTGTGCGGGAGGGCATAGACTCGCAATCTGCAAGCTACACCTTTCAACCCTTATGTAAAGCGGTGTTAGAATTACCTGAGAATGGTCGAGGCTTGTGGTGCTGTTTGATGTTGCCCCTGAACTCAAGGGTTTGTCGAAATAAAAATTTCGAAAATGAAGTGTGCTAGGGAGCAAAATGTGGGAATCGTTGAACGATTGTCTCTGCTGCCTGCATTTGCCATAAATGTAATAGTCTGCCAAGCGAATTGCTGCAAGGAAGCCGTTGCGAATGTGCGAAAATCGCCTTGCTGGGCCGTAGATTGAAAAGCTGTTATAGACCAGTGCTATTATGCATTTGGCAAAACTGCGGTTGGGCATGAGAGGGTGTTCGGTGAAGTGTCGAAGAGTGGGTTGAGGGCGCTTGAGTACGGAGGGGTAGAGAGGAGGCTGGGTCGTGGGAGGGCCACTCCCATCGGCGCGTGGCACATATGGTGCTGACCGACCACGAGCATGGAGTGGACGATTGGATATCCATGCGCTGTCATTTGCTCCCATAATATGATAGCATTGTGTCTTCTTCTGTTGCAATATTGACAGTATTTTTCAGCTAATAAGAGCGGGAACTGGAAAAAGAAAGCACCGGACAAGAACCTGCACAGACCAGCGACGCCTGACATTGCTGAGTACGAGCAGGTGCAGCAAGTTTGTTTTTTGCTTGATAACAGTGGCATTGGGAACCAGGCCATCCGTGGATACCGCACCTCGTTTGGGTGCCGAACAGACGGCTAATGGAGTTTGGAACATTGAGAATTGACTTAGAAATGAGCCGCTGGCTTGCAAGAGTGAAGGCTTGATTGCAATGACGAGACTGGGCAACTGCCGGTTCCAACATTTTTGACGTCGTAATTTACACTTTGTAAATTAGGGTGAGCCGTGTTCCCATTTGGCAAATCAGAGCTGCGGTGTGCCCACAGTTCTATCTTGATGCTTCCTATAGCCCATTATTTGATGACACACAGTACAGAAACTACGTAGTTACAGCGTGAATAACGATCATCGGCAAGGGCAGTGAACCCCAGCTAAAGCAAGTGTTCTGAAGTTGGAAGCACGTTATATTTCATATTCTGCTTTGTGTGCACTAGGATACCCCTGGCTTGCCGATATGCTACTTTCTGATGTTCAGGTATGAGGAGCAGTTGGCAGTGGATACATGGCAAGTATAATACCATTTTGCTTCAAATAGTAATTCGATTGAGCCACTTTTCCATGTAGTTTGACACGGAATAGCATGTCGGTCTTTCAGCAACTTCAGAGAACGTTCTGAAGACAAACTTTGACTACCGCTTTAGATTCCTACGGTTGACATGGGTCATGCACATCAGTTTCATGCATGCACAACTCCATCTGCTTGGCTTTCGCGCCCATCATCGCCCACCACGTGCACGGGCTATGTTTTTTTATTCTGTGACAGATGTAATCCATGGAATTTGAATGCACAAATCCATGGAAAAATCCTCCCGTGTAAGCAATACTGAGTCAATATTGACAATTGGCCATGGGGTTGACGCCACCACATACTAAGCAGCATCAGAACTGGTCTTGCATGTTTATATGGAAACAGCGGACAGGTCTGCTCCATACCCATGATAATGTGTGGCAGTTCCGAAACTGGATGTTTCATGCCAGTTGAGTGCCTGTCATGCCCCTCGAACAACAGCTCCGCCTGCCCAGAACAAATCTGCACTGGCACAAGGAGAGCAAGCCATGCAGCATGACCATCGTTGGGAAGTTATTGCTTGATGCTGCCACAGCTGTTTTTGATGCCCTCGCAATCACTGTGACAGCGTCATTTATTTTCAAAATGAAATCGCGGTTAGCTTTGTCAGATCTGACAAACAGAATTCTGCAGAATGTTGTTGTCCGTTTGTGTTGCTTATCCTGTCGCAGAAGCTCCGCAGCCATGAGCAATGCGATCCGCGATAGACAGAACATAAACGCCATGTTGAGTGCTGAGCATGGTGGTTGGCTCTGGTTGGACTTGTTCTGACAAACATGGCAAATGCAATCAACGATGAGATTTCCAACACACTCACCTGGGAAGTGCCCACGAAATGGCAGCACCGCAAAAAGCCCCAATACCCAGGCTGCATGTCATGCTTCATCATAAAGTTCAAATGTTTGGGGTGGCCTCTGTCTATCTCCACAACAGAATCATTTGCCATCAACCACTTGCTGGCCGACAACACTTGAACGAAACACACGCAGCAATGCTGCGTTGACCGATGCAATTCATGTATGGTCGCTGAAGGCTCGGCACCTCATGCGTAGCATCCGTCTGCCGTGTCTTCAACTGTACGCTTCTGTGAAGCACATAGTTTACGTCTATATTATAACAGCCTATGTAATAGGCGTATACATACTAACACTAAAAGAGGGACATGTCTGCCCTCGACTCCGATGTCCAACGTAGAATGCGATTCGCTTGCCTGTGCCGAAAAGGGAACCCCGATCTAATTCCAAGGCGCGCCAGTGGTTAACCACTGAACCGGGAACGTTCCCGGTCGGACGTAGATCCGCAATAGCGCAATTTACCGCAAAGAGGGGCGATTGAACGGCCCGAGCAAGTGCCGTCTCAGCATGTCTGCATTGCCCTTCGGAAGTCGCCGCCCTCGATATCGATATCTACATCAGGTTTGGTGCTCCGATATTGGCGCAGCATTGCCATTCCAAGCTGTCGCCGCCACTGCCGTTCACTTGTCTCACTTTCCTTGACCCGGTCGAGGTGATGGCCTCCTCCAGGCTTGGTTTTTACGCTGCAACAATTGATCGCATTTACGTTTTACGCGTAAAAATGCGTAAAAATTTACGTAAACACAACGTACAACTGCCCGGTGTACATAAGGACAGTACATACACATTTACAGAGTCTAAGGAGCGGCAGCCAGACGCCCTGGAAGGGGCAGAAAACGAGTTCTTGCTAAATGCCATTATCGCCCTTGCCAAGGCCGAGGTGGACATTGCGTTGCGTGTGCTGGAGGTGGCGCAAGACTGATCATTGTACGCAACTTTTAGCGTGTAAACAGGATGTCCCAGGGAGCCATGAAAACGGAAAAATGGCCGCAAAAATAGGCCCTTTTGTAAATTTACGTTTTTACGCGTAAAAACGTAAAAGCAAAACGTAAACACAAACGTAAAACCCAAGCCTGGCTTCCTCGAAGGGCAACTCCGCGTGGCCCTTTGTGTCCAGAGATCCACTGTTTCGCATCACCAAGGCCTGCGTCATTCCCATCTTCGTGTGTGTGCGGGTGGCGGGGCAAGGACTTGGGCATGGTGGCTTGGTCGCATTCATCAATCGACACCGGCGTTTTGGCAGTGCCAGCTGCGACGCCATTTGGAAATAATTGTTACCATGATGCTCGGTCCTTAAGGTGTAAACACTGTGTATTATGCGTATTTATGCATGATAATGGTTTTCACATTTGTACATGCAAGAACGACTAAGAATATGCAACATAAGCCGCGAGTGCATACAGACCCATGCAAGCTCAGGGATTCCGGAGGTTGGCAGCCAGATTGGCCAATGAGGGGCAGAAACAGACCCTTTATTCGGCAGCGTCGTTGTCATTGCCAATGGCGAGGTAGGCGCTGTGTTGTGGGTGCTCCAGGGGGAGCAGAAGGCTGAATATCGTTTACAACCTCATCATGTAACCTGGGTATCCCAAAGAGCAGTAAAACCTCGTAGATACATACATAAAACTATACATTTGTGTGTTGACTTGTTGCGAATAAAACGTGAAGGTAAAACTGGTGGCAAAACATAAAGACCAAGTCCGGAAACCTACTGGCTTTCCCATCGCAATCGCTGTGATGGCATCACTAATTTTCCAAGTGGCATTGCAGTTGGCATTTAAAATGTGGTGGCTTCTGCTTGGGGCTGTTCACCTGGGCCATAAACAGCGCGGTGGATTGGTTGGGCTACTGGGCACATAGTAGTATAGTAGGGGTCCCTATATAGCGCCCCCAATAGCGCCCCCTTTTCTGGTTTGTCACCATTTCTGTAGTATTTTATGCAGCTTCGCTGAGCAGTGGGACCTTAAGCTACTATTGTGGATAACCAAACACACCCAAGAGAGGTGTCCGGTGGATGGATGGCGCGGTGGCTGTCTATTTCCGCAAACTTGGCATATCGCGGACGGGCGGACTGCATGTCTGGTGCGTCTGCTATGGGGCCCAGGCCCAAGGCCTCCCCGGGAGGCCAAGGTAGGTGTGCATTCCATGGCGGATCTCCATCTATGCACAAGGAAGTGGGCACTACCCGCCTGGGCTCCTTGCAACCCGCGGAAAGGAGGGATAGGGAGGGGTGCCCAATGCCACGGCGTCCATTCTTTCTCTCTTATCATCATCATACAAATCTATCTCCATGTCCCTGCCAGCATCCTCATTGCTACTGGAAGTTCTGTCTTCCATGAAAAATCTGGATCACAAGGGCTTTCATCATTGTAGTCACCCTCATCGTCATCAGAAAAGCTCTTGATCAATATTGATCAACTAGTTGCTTTGGCATCATAGCCCATCTCTGCACCGGATGCTTTGATGCTCGCACTGGCCGACAGGTTGTGCAGTAGCGCCTCAATCAACAGCCTCCCCTTTGCAAATCCTTACCACATGCGCAGGAACTGCACCATGCATGCATAGGGACGTTGCAGCCAAGGCTGCTATGAACACTGACCCTACCACTGATTTGGCAGACTGGGCATACCAGTCGTGCAGCCATCGCACGCCCACAATGATCACAACAATGCCGCTACGTTGTTGCACCGATGCATTGTTGCGCTACCATGCTGCCACCCCACCACACTGCCACCCCGCCACATTGTCACCCCACCATGCTGCCACCCTGACATGCTGCCATGCCACCATGCTACCACACTGCCATGCTGCCACACTGC